TTCGACGAAATGATCTCGATTTACTACTTCGGAAGTTATAACTTTACGCTATGGAGTCGATGGAAACGTTTTAACTGCAGACATCAGCTGACTACGACGTGACATCCCTTGAATGCTGTCGATTATATTTTACGGTAGTACATGTTTATCTTCTTAATTATTTTACAAAATAAGGACACAATTTATCTACCAATATTTGAACAACGACCAATTTTAGATCTTCGCTGAATTGATATAAATAATAAATACATTGTGAAGTGCCGTTTACCATAAGTGCTTGAGGATGGGACACCCTTTTTCGATATAGACCCCTTGGCTTTTTTCTAATAAATAATCTTTCATTGACTTATTTGTGATAAGATCTATACAAAAAATTAGAAAATTACCTAAAGCAAACGTTCTTTAGAATCTACCCTACACTCTATAGAAAAATCAACGAAAGTGGGGTAAAATTTTTATAGAATCAGAATGTTAGTTTAATCAAATTTGCTGAATATTGATAGGATAGATTATATCACAAATGTGTCATCCATATATACGGGTAATTTATGTGAAAAAGTCTAACAGGCCCTGGGGTCTATATTTATGTGAAAAAGTCTAACAGGCCCGGAGGTCTATTTTGGGGGGGGGGTCCTGTCCTCAAGCACCTGTGCCATTTACAGGTTTTAGATCAACAACTTAATAAAGTGAGACTAAATGTTCCCGTGAATGATCTTCATAATTATGTATTTTTAAAAAGTTGGATTTCTGTAATTTATGTAATCGTGTTAATTCAGGATTACAACATTGTCAGTGTTGAAAAGAATTTCTAAGAGATTTTTTTTTTCATTTTTCCCCATAGGTTTTGTAGATATCCTGTCCGTGTCTCAAATGAGAATAGGGGTCTGCCTTGCACACCAAACTCTATGGAAAATATTTTAGAACATGGTCATGCCATGTACCACCTGGTTTGATGAGTTAAATGTGAAAGAACAAAGATTGGTCACAAACCTGCACAGGATTAAATCAACAAGTGCCAAGTGGTGTGTCCCATGTATGTACAGCTGAGTTGCACATGACTGGATTTCAATGATTTAATTATCATGTTTAGAACTTCAATTTTTTCAACTATACTGTGTATATCCAGAATGTGATTATAATTAACTTTTGTATATCATAATAACTCAAAGACAAACTACATCAATATAAATATTAAATAATATAATGTGACTGTAAATGAAATATTATTAAAATCATTGTTACATTTAATTTTAGACTTTTCCTTTTCTATATTGAGCTTATATTGGTGAGCACTGTTTTAGATGTAAATGTATGGCATATTTAATGTCTTTTTAAAATATTTATTTTCAATGTAATCAATCACAACTGCAAAAAGCAAAATCATAATCGCTGAGCATCATGTTCAGCAGCTTTGAAGAACAAACAATAGTAATTATTTTATATATGCAAGATCTACTGCCATTATGATCAAACTGTTTGATCTTGAATCAACTGCTTAATAGAAGTTTTAATAACTTACTGTAGCTCAAAACACATAGGCACTTGTAAATCTTATCCTTTTTTTTTCTTTTTATGAAATTATACTCCCTATACCTTGTTAGGTAGGAATTTAGGGAAAATGTTCTTTTTTTTATATTAAAAGAATCATATTTAAATGGGAACAACTTTATCCCTTTTAGCCCTATGGTAAATTTCAAACCCTAAAAAAGTTAGACAAGCTAAAAAAAAAAAAGGAAAATGTGTCCATTTCGTACAAACTCGAAAATCCTGTCGGGGGTGGGTTGGGGGGGGGGGTGTAGGATCGAACTTCTTGCCTACATTATAATAAAAAAAATGGGGTGGATATAGGCTTGCCAAAGAATACTCCTATTAGTACTCATTACTTGTGTTACTGTACCCTAGTCATGCATAGGGGTCTGTTGCGATATCAGCGTTGTCAAACACTGCTATTAAGCATAAGATGTTTGCTCTTTAAAAAATTCACGTATCAATAGGCCTATCTGTTTCTTATATATGAACTTTTTTTTCATCGAGCAGCATCTTGAGCAACCTCGCATGCAATTTGACAGCTTCTCTTTGATCATGGTCATCATCTGTCATGTTAAATACTCAAACTGTATAGCTTTTTATACACTTAAAAACAAGATAAATACCTCAAAAGCTGCTCAAAGAACTCTTTAGTGTATTAGTAAAAAGAATTTGGTACATTCGGCAAAAGTTTAATTCATTCCATGCTAAAATATCTCGACAATGTAGGTGTAAATAACGTAATCTTTGTACTGCCGGATGTTTTCTATACATCCCGGTGAGGGCGCTGCAATCGGAGGGAGATCGTATAGTGATATCTATTGTGACGTCATAGGAGTCGGCGATCCCTTCGCTTTAGGTCTATGTTTTCACTAAAACCAGTTTGAACCGGTTAGGCTAGACTGTCTAGACTCTGAAGCGTGACGTCATAATCACATTCTTGAAATGTTTTTTGCACACGGCGCATTTTTACCTGTGCAGTCAGCATAAACAAAAAAACGTAGTACCTACGTACCCATGTAAACAGTGTAAACAACTCCAGTATTTAAGGCGAATAGGTTAGGGTTAGTTAGGGGGATAGGGTTAGTTAGGGGGTTAGGGTTAGTTAGGGTTAGGGTTAGGGTTAGTTAGGGCTAGTTAGGGGTAGGGGTTAGGGTTAGTTAGGGTTAGGGTTAGGGCTAGGGTTAGGGTTAGGGTTAGGGGGGATAAGGGGTTAGGGTTAGAACTCCACTCAGTTGACCCACTTATCCCCTCAGCCTCAGAACTGATCACATGATTTCTCTCAGCCAATCAGAATCTTCCGGGCTATCGGGAATGCTTATACTACTAACAGTCTTGTTTAAAGTTAACATTTCAACAATTCCATGGTCAGTACAAAGATATTGTCAGCAAATAATTTTTTTCTTGATTTACCCTTCTAATAAAAATCAAATTTTCACTGGCTCCTTTCTTTCGTGATTGCTGCACGACGATCAATTTTTTTTTAAAGTAGTGAAGTTTTGATTTTAATCAGACTGGCTGACTGACGTATTTTGATTTTTTCCCTTTTGTCTGATCATGACAAGGAGCACCTAGCAGTGTCAACAGGAGATGATTACTTCTCCATGACACCTGATCACACCCCTGAATTGTTATTAATTTTTAGAGGTTCATGTTTTCTCTGCTCCCGTTTTAAATGGTTTCAATGGACTCTTGAGTTTGATAAGAGTTTGTTATCTTCAAAATATTTAATCAGTATAATTTGTACATCATATAATATTCTTTTATTTAAATCTCATATTCATACGAAAGTCGCGCTCTGTTTTTATATACAACAAAATATTCTTTCATAATTAACCCCCTCCCTCCTCTCTAAAATGAAAACCAAAGAACCGTAATTTTCAGTATCATAAATGGTTAGCCCCGACTCAAAATTTCAAAATTATAGACAGAAAAACTAAAAGACAAGACTGACTGATAAACGCAGACAAGGACTGCGTGATAGACAGACAAACTAACATACAAGTGTGACTGATGCATACAGAGATGGACGTCCGACTACCTGATAGACGGACAGACTGATAGACAAACTAACAGACAAGACTTACTGATATACACAGAGGAAAAACAACCTGATAGAAAAACTGACAGACAAACTTACAGACAAGTCTGACTAATATAAACAGAGAAAAACACTTATACTGTATTAACATAACTTCAGGTAGGACACAATAGATAGGCCAAAATTTTCTCAAATTCAGTTTTTCTGAAACTTTGACATTTTGTTTTAGCATACAAAATCTCTCTTTATATATTATATGGAAGAAATTCAACCACACATTTTTTGCCCACATAGTCTGAAATATTTCCTATCAGACCCCTGTAAGAAGATTGTGAAATCAGACGTTCGACTTGAAAATTAGTCGTATTTTAGAATTATCAATTGATCTATTGCAAAGTGTAATACTTTTAATAAAGATAACCTTTTTGTTACTTTAAATCAGTAAGTCATATTGATACTGGGAAATTTAAATAAAAATATTAAGTAAAAATAGAACATACATAGCGTCGGAATTGAAAATTCACATGTAAGTATCCAACAGTTTAAGTTTTCGTAAGAGAAAATGTATAATTCTATTTTTACAAAAAATCAACAGAATGATTCAAATGGATCTTAGAATAAAATGTGTAAAAATAAAGAAAATTGAACCGGTGGTTTCAGATATTTTGGTGATTTAAAAAATTTCAATGGCAAAAAAACTAAGATTCAGTTGATGAGGTCACAATATATGACCTTTGACCTTGACCTTTGTAGTACATAAAGAATGGAGACTCCTCATATATGTGTCCAAATATCAGCCCTCTACTATTTATCGAACAAAAGTTACACTGCATTTTATAACAGACTGTTACTTGCTTGTTTATTGCACTTAGAATGTAAGCTCCCAAGTGTCGACTAATATATAGGATTCTCTGATTTTTTCACAAACCTGCCAAAACTTATTATTTTTCTTACAGGGATCATTCATTGCTATCAATATAGTAATATTCTTCTTTTTTTCTCCAGTACTTTTTAAGAAATGGGTTAAAATAGAATCCACAGGTGTTTTGTCCTACCTTAATCATCAGATATTGTAAACCAAGTTTTTCATGTGCAAGAAATATCTGCGAGGTTTGAGACCTACATCAACTCCTGAATACTAATAGCCATGAACCATTTATTTTGCTCTGTATTTGTAGAGAATATTTCCTCAGTCCTGAAAATCTTGCATACTGAATTTAAACTGAAAAATAGCAAATAAAAGATAACGCAAATAATAGTTGATTTACAATATTTTCTTCATTTAACGCAATGTTTTTTTTTAAACATGTTCCTAGTTTAATCAAGTTGAATGTCATCTGAAATCTCCTGTCTGAAGTGTTCCTTATAATTATCATGTGTTGAGTTGTTGAACATCAAGTTGGTATAAATGAAATACATACAAGAAGGCAAATAGTTTTTTTTCCTTTTTATTAAAAATTTGTATTGTAATATGAAACATGACATTTGATAAACACACAACTAAGATGATCTGACAATGATACACACTCACACTTCAAATCACACATAGGAATGTGTACCCTACCACAGTCAAAACATACAGGTCGGTATTCTACCCTTCCTAGGTCAAAACAATAGAAGTTAACAACCCCCTAATGCACAAACAATGACAGTCCATTCTAACATTTAAATGCAGAATAATATCCCTCAATTGATAATACAGATAAGATATAGGGGCTAGATACTTGATTTCTGTATGATATGGAATATATACTTATATTAATGTATCACACTTTATATATCAAGAGTTGTCAATGACTTCATGTTTTAATTACATCATGAAATGTTCAACATCTTGGCACACAAAAACATATCACAATTCACACTGTTGATTAATTGATTCTATAAATATTGATATCAGTCACACCAGCGAGTGCTTCGCATTTGCTGAGGTTTATCCAGGCAGAAAATGCTGGATCGATAGTTTTACAATGAAATTTGGGAAGTGTTTGTCCGCGAAGCCAGGAGCCTGATAAATGAAGTGGAGACTTCTGAGTCATTACAGGAACTGCTGAGTTCCTCTCCAAGCCACAAGCAAACAAGAGGTTCTCCTCCTACCCCTCACTGCTCTGTTTTTAGCGTGGCTAATTCTCGTGTACTCAAACACTGGCAAACACACATTCAGTGAAATTAATGGCGGTCTATAAAAAGCAGAAGCCCTCACTCCCCTCCCACCGTCACTTCTCGTGGTACGGTGTGAGAAATGTCGCCGTTCACCTGAGTGTGGTTACTAGGGAGACTAGTATCGTCCGAGAGTTCAGTAATTGTCAGAGAGTCTTTGGGTTTTTCCGTTTCCTCTGTTATTGCTGCCCCCTTCATGCTGACCTGCTGACGGAACTTCTCAATGTCTTCTTGGCTGAAATTTTCAAAAGAAACAATAATCACTGGGGCATCCATACATCTGTCTCAAAGATCCTTATACTTACACATTAAAACCTGTTTCTTCCCATACTTTATTAAACTTTCATTCAAGACTAAGTGCAAAATATAAGATTATCACGTCAATTATCATTACAGCTACAAGATTACCTATTCATTTCTAGCAGTGATACTTGCATAAGCATTACTTTGGTCTATAATGCAAAGACCTTGGTATAATAAAATGATTTACTATTCCAGTCACCTGATTTGTACAAAGAGATATCATTGATGACATTAAGAGTGTCAAGTACACTCGCTATGGAGGGAGAATTACCTGATTTGTACAAAGACGATGCCGTTGATGACATTTAGAGTGTCGAGCACGCTCGCTATAGAGGGAGTCTGAATGTGGAGGGGTGGTAAGGTTATACTCTTCTCTCCCTTGTAGATCTCGTTCATTTTCTTCTGAAACACGACGGCTTGTTGTGTCAGGTGTTTAAGGCATTCCGAGCTCTCCTTTGTTCTCTCATGTTCCTCTCCCAGCTAAAAAAAATATATACACAATAATCAGTCAAGCTCAATTTATACATCTCATTCCCTGATTTATCCTAATATTTACTCTTAAAGTTTATACAATAGTAATATTATAATTCACTCACCGTTTGTTTGTAGATGGCATAAGCCTCTTTTTCACTCTGTAGAGCCGCCCTGAAATCTCCACGGCAGGAATGAGTCCTAGCAACCAAGTGGTAGTTCATCGCAACCTTCATGCTTCTTTGACCAAAATATCTGAATAGAAAAAAAATACAATGACATTTTACTCTTTGTACATTTTTAACTGATAAAACAGAATTAAGTGATAAATTGATGTATTTTGTTTTCAGGTGAAAACAAATCTGACTTTGTATTGACTTCCAGAGCATGCTCCAGGAACCTCAGGGACAAATCAAACTCCTCGACAGCGTGGAGAATCAGTCCAACATTGCTCTGTGAAAGACGAGTTTAGTAATATTATCAAGCATTAATTACCAGTTTACATCAACAACCTAAGAAGACCACTCATTTTATAACTAAATATACAGGTATATTCTATAAATTTTAATCAGATCTTAAAAATATACATGTTCTACTAATCTCCTTAGAATTTACAGTTTACTGTTTTTGTATCTCTATTTGACCATTAAGTACTACCAGTGCTAAATTTGTTTGACCTTTGAGTACTTACATCAATCAGTGCCACCTCTGGATGATCCTCTCCGTGACAAAGTAAAGCCAGATATCGTGTTCTGTATATCAACCTTAGAGCACTGGACACCTGACTGTTGGCAAAGCAGTACAGGGCAAGATGGGCCTGAAGAATAAATTTCAAAGATTAAGTTTTACGGGAACCGAGGAATTTGAATTTAGAAATAACATTTCAACTTCGGTAGCTCTACTTACATATTCAGTGATTGTATTTGGGTTATCAATGCCCAAGACTCGTTCACTCATTAAAACTGCCCGTTGTTGGAAAGACATGGCCTACAAGAAACATTTAAGATGTTTTATGTACAGTTTCAATGAAGATATAAAATGATTACAGTGCCATCTACTGGCTGTAAAATGTTTTATGTACTGTTTCAATAAACATAACAAAAGATCACAGAGAGATCTACTGGCATTAAATCCCTACCTCTCCGTATTCTCCCATGATGTAATTGAGGCGAGCGAGAAGTCGAAGACACGCGGCGATCTCTGGGTGAAGAGCTCCGTACACGTTGTTCAGAAGATTGAGTGCCTCACTGATCAAGTCGTAGCCCTCCCGCAGTAAACCCTGCTGGATCTTATTCTGTCCACTCGTGAAGAAATGATAAGCATCGGAGGCCTGTAAAAGCAATGTTTTCATTTAAGTTTAGTTTAAAGCTCTAATGTTAAGCAACTTATACAATATGCTTCTCAAAGCTGTGTCAGTAATAAACACAATACCTTGGGGTGAATATGTTTGGCAACAGGGAAAACGTTCACAATATCTTCTTCATTAAAGATCTGTTTGTTCTTGATGTCCAGGTTGTATTCCTTGAGTAAGATCTGGATTCCTACACTCAGACAGAACGACCTCAGCATAGAGACTCGCTGGAGTCCGTACTTCTCCACAGCATGCTCGACGGAATCACTACAAACAAAACATGTACTAACATTACAGGAGGAAGATTCATACCACATACCTTAGAACGAGTTATTTTAGTGACCAACAAATCTACTGATTATAAATTATTCTACATGAAGGCTTTATTAGTTTACATGAAGTTAATTTTTAAGGAACTTCAAGACATTTCTTTGCATTTCCAAGACAACATACGTGACTGAATATAAAAAGTGACATTTGTTTTTTGCATTGCGAAGACCAACACTACAATGAACAATGATCTTGATTTTTTTATCCAATGACATCCAGACACCTGACACCCAGTGTTTTCCCTTTATTTCAAAAGGTTAGAGATCAATTGTAAAGGGCTTTGAGCTGAGATTTATGACAAATCTCTGTGGACCTTACAACAACTAAACTTTTTTTTTCTAAGTGGCATTTTTGTCAATTGTAGCGTTCAATTTGGCCAGGAGCCGGTTCTCAGGGAAAACACTGGACATCCACAAAATGATACTGATCCTCAAGGAAAAACTGTCAAGAGTTATCTCGCTGTATATTGTATTACTTAATTATGTATAACTCACCAGTCCAGTTTGTAGTCAAAATACTCGGACACTTCTTCTGTGATTTTCTTCCACAGTTTGGAGGGCGTCTCATTGACCCACTCTGTATTGTCTACAACAGGTACATTCCATTAGATACAAAGAATGGAACTTACGATTTTGTAACACACAGATAAATGCTTGTATAAACACTCACCAATGCTCAAGAAAACAGATTTGTTTTTCTTGTTATTCTTCCTCTTAGCCTTCTTACTCTGCAACTGAAACAAAATTAATACATTTTGAATTTCTATGCAAGCAAAAATGTCTTTCAGCTAATTGACCTTGCCAATTTTAAATAATTTTATATTGTTTACAGAACACGTTTGTAATTTCACTTTCCAGGCCCTTTTTATGTTACCTCGTCCGCAGTGACCTGAGCGTGTGGCGTGGGATAAGATCCAATGTAACAGTTAAGGAAGTGACAGATAGCAGCTGACGTGTTCATCATGTCCACACCCTGCATGTACGACTTGAACAGGTGCTTAGCTGCACGGCAAATCAGTTCTGATATGACAATGGTCTGCAAAGAGAAAAACAACAACACTTACAAGGTTGTCCTCTAAGTCACAAGTATAAGTTGAAAAAGCATAGAAGTTTTCACATTTTGTTGTTGTTTGTTAGCAAATAAGAATAAACAGTTGTTTCAAATTGATATAACTTGTATATTCCTGGTAAAAGTTTAAATGTACTCACATAAACATATGACACAGAGGAGTACTTGGAGATCATTTCCCCCACTTTTCCAAGGTACCGGATGTTGATGCCCCTGGAATTGACAGTAATTGCATTTATTAACATTTAACAAACAGGCAATATTATTTCTTATGAATATTGGATCAATCATTCTCCAGTCATGTGTAACTTACTTGTTGTGTAGGGCCTCAGAGAGAGTAAAGCCATCAATTGGGGATGAAGTGTGCTCCATACAATCACTGATCTGAAAAAATAAAACCTTGATTACTTAAAAGTGAAGGAAATTTACAGTTAGTTTACATTTACAAATGAACGGCCTTGACAATGCTAGGAGGATTTGAAGATACAGTCAAACTTGTCTTAGCGGCCACCCGAAATCAACGGCCACTTGCAGTCAGCGGCCACTTTCAGTTCCCCCCGATGATTTTTACTATATATTTTAACTGGAATAAACGGCCACCTGTGTAACGCGGCCAGCGGCCACTCAAATCCTCCCCCAACAGCTTTATTGACACTGTAATAAGCGGCCATTTCGTCACTTGCTAAAGAAATTCACACCTTTCAGATTTTGATTACATAAAGAAGCCCTAATTGCTACTCTTGTAAAAACAAAGTGCTTCATATGGCATGATTATCTCGTGAATTTCACTATCAAGAGAGGATCGATAGGGATTAGTCACGCTCTACTGCATTTAACACCTGTGTTATGGAATGATTTTCAACTGCGTAAATACAAATCTCTGGTCAACTGGTTAATTTTATTTGTGTGTCTGTGTATATTAAATAGAAATTCTGACAGCTTTATAAACAATAAAATTAATCAGACTTTATAAACTTCAGCAAGTAAGTTAATTACCGATTAATTAAATTGGGGGGGGGTTACACTGCTGACTATCTTTTTAACATATGTAAGTGAAATTTTTATTGACATATTTTTACTTAGATTCCTATGCTTTATTTTATTTTCCATTAAACTGTATGTTTGTGTATTTTTTTCTTTATAAAAAGGGTAATAGTCAGGCACTGTATGTATTTCTTCAAATGAAAATTAAAAGAATTTTTTTAATAATTCAATTTAACAAAAGCACACTTGTGAATGCAAGATGTTTAACTAATATGTAGGAACAGAAACATGCACAAAACCTTAAACATTTCGAATTCTTTAATATTCTTTTTAAATGAGCTTTAATAATTATATATACACATAAAAAGCTTTTGTGAAATTGAACTGTTTAATTATGATTAATTAATTTAACTGTAGTGCTTAATGTTGTTTATTTATTAACCAAATGTCCTTTTCGAGGGCAAACTTGAATAAGAGGCCACCTGTCTTAAGTGGCCAGTTTCCAGACTTCCCAAAGGTGGCCTCTTAAAACAAGTTTGACTGTACTTCCAAAAGTTAGGATTTGACAATAGTTACTGTACTTACAAATGATGTAGATAGATATTTTTAAATGAAGAGATACTTACAAATGATGGGATTTGATGAAGAACAAGAAATTCAGCAGCATCTTTGACAAGTTTCTTCTGTTTCTGGAACTGGTCACTCTGAAAACACAAAGGAACCCATGAATAAAATACTGAGTACAGACTATCTATAAAATTCTTCTAGTTTAAGGAAAATTTGACATTCACTGTAAATGACAAAGATGCATAAACATGATGTGGAAATAAATGTACTATTATTGAAAATAAATCTTGATGCAATTCTGCCCTTTGAGTGTAACTTTCACTTTTTCTTTGTTACAATTATAAACACTAACCTTTTCATCAGCATGTTTGACATGTGGTTGGAATACATCTGGATTGAAGAGGATACTGAACTCTGCAAGCAATAAAACAATGAATTTAAGTTTACATTTTTCTCTAGACAGAGTAACGTTTTTGAAGGTTTAACACAATGAAGCACTAAAGCAACCACCTGTCCTGCTTTACCTGTTTCACTAAGAGATCCTACAGCTGTTGCTGCCTTCTTCACAATGTCTTTACTATTCTCTTCAACTGTTAAAAACAAAAAAAAACAAATGAAAAATAGCTAATTAATATATGAAAAATACTATTCACTAAGATTTGTAATCAATAAGCTAAGGTGACAGTTTTAGGAGTGTGTATCGGTAGACTTACATGATTCCCCGTCGGACCCGGTGAGGGCCTCCACGATTTTCTTGGCCTCGTCGATGTTCTCCGTGTCCGCCTTCTCCTTCTTCTCTTTGTCCTCCTCTCCTTTCTCCTCACTCTTCTCCTCCAGGCCGTCCAGCTCTATCTCCTGTGGAACCAGCTTCTGCTCCTAATTAAATTATAAGACTATAGATAAATACCTGACCATTTTTAGATAACACTTTGTGTAAGATACATACAAGTCTTGAGATGTTTGTAAAACAATTATGCCTCCCTCCCCAAAATAATTGGAATTTTTTCTAAGTCCAAGGGGCATAACTCTGTCCAAAACAGCCCAATCGTACCCAAAACAGAACATAAATCTGTATACCAAATTTCATTTCAATATGTGCAACCTCCGCGAAGAAAATGAACGGAAATTAATGGTTTACAGACCGACCGACAGACAGCAGAAAAGCAATATTCCCTCCCTTCTACAAAGGCATAAAAATGTTGATTTCTTGACAGCTCTATCTGTTACCTTGTTCTCGGCTGACTTTTTCTGGCTTTGTTGCTGAAGTTGCTGGAATTGGTAAGCTGCATGTCTCACAAATGCTACATATCTAGTCCTATAACAGATGGAAAAGAGCTACCATCAGGAGAAACAAGTTTGTAATAATGGGTAGCTTTAGATATAAATTTTTTTTGTCATTTCCTAATTGATCAATTCATCTGTATTATCATCATTTTAGACAGTATTGAAATAATAAATCAAAGGCCTGAAGGGCCACAATGGCGCTGTGCTTTAGATACAGTTAATTGTTTACACCTGTATTGATAATTTACTGGCCTACTGAACATAGACTGTTAGACATCGGCATTGTTTACGTAGATCAAGCTTGGGTTGGAAATGGAAGTTAAAAGTACAACCTAATTTACGAACCAAATCCGGAAATCGGGGATTTGGGCGATAAGAATGACCCGCCATGTCATAAAAAATAATCAGGTTAAGGGTCGAAAAGTAACCCGACGAAAGTGGGTGAGTTGGCAACTATGGAAAGAACTGCTGAAATTGTATGATTTTCAAGCAGTTTATGGAATAAATGCAAAAATTGGCATATATATTCCTACGCCAGATACACAAGGTTTTGGTTCGAGTACTATATTATTTGGCGCATGAAGAAAGCGGTGAGCAGTCAGAGATTTCCTCATAGCTAGATGAGCGCCATAAAAATAGCTTACATTACAAAGTGAAACTGGACAGTACAAATGGCTTATTTTAAATATAAATCTCTCAGATTAAAATACACAGAAACCTGTATGTTGTTATTTTGACTTACTCTACAAAAGCCTCGATCAGTTCCTGTCGTAGACACGCCAGTCTGTGAGGATGTTTCTTTGGATACCCGTGTTCCTGCATGATTTTACTCAGGGGCTCTTCTTCAACTGGAAACAAGATTTTTTTATTAAAAAAAAGATCATGGCAAACATGTCAATAGCTCCTTATGTCAGTCATATGTAATATGACGTTATATTGACTCTAGGACTATACTAAATTTAAAATCATAAATATCAACTAGCCCAATGTCTTCAGAAGACTCTGACTTACGCTGGAGGTAATTAATATCTGGAGGGAAAGTTCTCAGTAGATCTAGGATATAATGACGCTTGTCATTCCCAATGATTCCCTGAAAATATTAACAGAACTTTAAGAAGCCTGCCAATTCAACGACTCCCTAAAAATACTACAGCATTAACAGGTAGTTGAAAAAATGCACTTTTAATTAGTGAACTTAAGTTTTGAAAGAAAAAAATTTCCTTGTTTTTTTTTTTTTTTTTCGAGAACCTTAAAATGTTTTTTACCTTGCATTCAAGAGATGTATAGAGTTCCACTTCATCCCCTTTCTCACTAATAACCCTGAAAATAAACAAAAAATTTTCTTTTAAGTTTATGGTTTTAGCATCATGCATTTACTGACCGGATATTACATCAATCATTTACCCCCTGTAAAACAATGTGTGCTTCATTCGAGATTTCTTTGTTAGTATTCTCTTAACTGAGTTAAATATATGCAACAAAAAAAGAGAAAACAGAAAACTTACTTGTGTGGACAGATTTTCAGCTGTGGAGCAGTTTTTTGCAGCTAAAGAGAGAGAAAAGAATTTCATGTAAATTTTAAACAGCAAGAAATTTTCAATACATTGTACCACTAAAAGTTGTCACCCACTTGTACCTAGTCTACATGTATCCACTCACCAGTTCTACGTATTTATCACAGGTCACAACAGTCTTCCCAAAGTCAATAGAGCCGTACACAACAGACTGTTCTTGTTCTCTCTCCAGAATACCTAACAAAGAAAACCAAAGTCAATAGAGCCGTACACAACAGACTGTTCTTGTTCTCTCTCCAAGATACCTAACAAAGAAAACCAAAGTCAATAGAGCCGTACACAACAGACTGTTCTTGTTCTCTCTCTAGGATACCTAACAAAGAAAACCAAAGTCAATAGAGCCGTACACAACAGACTGTTCTTGTTCTCTCTCTAGGATACCTAACAAAGAAAACCAAAGTCAATAGAGCCGTACACAACAGACTGTTCTTGTTCTCTCTCTAGGATACCTAACAAAGAAAACCAAAGTCAATAGAGCCGTACACAACAGACTGTTCTTGTTCTCTCTCCAGGATACCTAACAAAGAAAACCAAAGACAATAGAGCCGTACACAACAGACTGTTCTTGTTCTCTCTCTAGGATACCTAGCAAAGAAAACCAAAGTCAATAGAGCCGTACACAACAGACTGTTCTTGTTCTCTCTCTAGGATACCTAACAAAGAAAACCAAAGTCAATAGAGCCGTACACAACAGACTGTTCTTGTTCTCTCTCCAGGATACCTAACAAAGAAAACCAAAGTCAATAGAGCCGTACACAACAGACTGTTCTTGTTCTCTCTCTAGGATACCTAACAAAGAAAACCAAAGTCAATAGAGCCGTACACAACAGACTGTTCTTGTTCTCTCTCCAGGATACCTAACAAAGAAAACCAAAGACAATAGAGCCGTACACAACAGACTGTTCTTGTTCTCTCTCTAGGATACCTAACAAAGAAAACCAAAGTCAATAGAGCCGTACACAACAGACTGTTCTTGTTCTCTCTCCAGGATACCTAGCAAAGAAAGGTCAACCCTTAAACAACTCACAAGAAAATCACACATTCTTCCCTAAAAACATGAGACAATTTGTGTAGAAGCTACAGTACTTCAAAGTCTTCAATTATCACCCAATTTATTCATTTCAGAAAACAATCTTGATTAGTTATTTGATGTATTCTAGTGTACTGCATATTGAAATCATATAAGTGGTATTATTCTTTGTTTAAATATGCAACAAGAGGGTCTCATTTCAAGATCAAGAACTGAGGAAAGATCTGACAACTAAATCTGTACCAGCCTATTTAATGTAGAAATGTACCTGGTATAATGGACTGGGCGGTGACCCTGTACCCCCGGTAGTCAATCACAGCTGTCCCCAGTGTGTAGAGCCCCTCAGTATCCAGGTTAAAGTACGCCTTCACGCCCTGTAGATCATTACCCTGGAAAACAGCAGTAACATTTTACCTCAGTGATATAACCTCTGATATACTAAAACAATAATTACAGAAATAAAACATTCTATCAGACAAATAAGCCACATAGAGTCAATATAAGAAGTATAATTCCAATCAAATCCCTACTTCAACAAGGCTTATAATAATACTCACCGGGGCAATATAAGCAGCGTAATCTCCACCAAAGTCCTTATAATGCTCTCTCACATCAAATCCAAGGCTGAAGAAAATGTTGTTCCAGATGAACATCTGCATCCTACAATACAAACGCCAATCATCAGTGTTTCATTTGTAATACAAATTGTTAATCCTTCAACACTCTCCTCTGATAAACAATTTTTTCATTCCTCGAGCACAACGATGTGTATATAAAAACATACTTGGTATCCTCCCCTGGGTTTATCGCCATGACGTTTCCGTCAATCACAGCTATAGCTCCACGTGTGGCAGCACCAACAAAGTCACTGTGCACCTACAAATGAAGTATAACAGGAAAGATTTTATTTCAGTTCATTTATACTAAATTTCAGGGACAATATGACATAAAAGCTACCCCCTGAATCAACGACTATACTCCTTTTAATTGTTGCAGACAATTTCTCATAATTTGTACTCAGCCTTACCTTAAACACTGCACGTTCTCTGATCAGTCTCTCTGGGAGGGTTTTCTTTGATAATTCACGAGTTGTCTGAATCTCTTCATTCCAGTCCCGAGTCTGCCCAGGAATGTGTTCCTCGTAACCCAGACGTGTGGAGAAGGCTATCAAACAATAACATAAACACTCAGTCCTTACTGAACAGCAACGTAAAGGGACAAATCTCTTCTCTCATAAGCATTTATATAAACAGTATTTTTTATATGAAGCCTTCAAAATCCTTGCAATGTGAAATCAGTGTTATGACATTCATAGGAGTGTTATAAGTAATCAAACAGGCACCCCAGTTAATGTTACTATTTATAGACACTGACCGTCCTCGGCCCTGATGTAGTCCACCGTATGCTCGGGCTGGGGGGCCATCCAGCTGTAGATCTGGTAGGGGGTGGGGACCCGCTCAAACGGGTGCTTCTGTCCCCGCTTCTTCAGAAGGATACTAAAGTTCCTCTTAAAACTTGGACTTATCTACAATGGCAGGACAAAATTAATGGTAAACATCAAATAATGCTACATTTATATGATATATGGGGTATACTCTTACATTAACTTGTGATATACTTTTCCTTTAACAAAACCTGCAGTGTACCTGATTTAGAAGATCTATGAGAGAGTGAGAGAGAAATTTCTGCTGAGCAGCTCTAGGATTGAATTCGTCTTCAGTTGACCTGAAACAAAGATGAAATAAATAAAGAAATTTTAAAAGGCATTCGTCTGAATCATAGATGATAAATAAACTAGACATTCCTTTTTTGTACAACACAAACGCAGCATGGGATGACAACTTACTGGTTGACATAGAACCCTCTGGTGGAGGCTGTAATGTGATATTTCTTGTCTTCCAGGGTTAGAACATACAGATACAGCAAATCACCTACAAATCAGAGAAGTAACCAGCTTCTGTAGAAAATCAAGCTTCATGTTAGACATTATAAATAATCTAAAATATATCATGAATGACATTCCCCCTACCATGCATTCTTCTGTTTCCGGGGGGAGGGTTCCATCCACTATATGTTAACACTTTCAAGCACTGTGGACCCTAAACAGAAAATTCTCATATTAAACTATGCAACCACTTCATTTCTAAGCAGTGAGGATTATTTTCAATAAAACCTACCTTCAGTTCCTTGAGTCCTGGGTGTAGAGGGAGTAGGGGCCGCTCCTTGCTGTTAGGCATTATGTAGTCAGGAGGTGTGCAGTCCACAGAGTCTGGTTTAGACCTTTTCTTGTCTAAAAAACACGATACTCAAATGATTAAAAGGCCTTATAGAAAACCTCTTCCTTCTATCAAAATTATCTTTCCGAATCATTCAAACCCTAGTTTGTTATTCTAAGGATCATTACATCAGTGTAATCTTAATATAAATTGAAACAAAAATTGTCAAAAAGAACGTAAGACTTGTATTATTTTAGCGTATCTCTAAGACTTGACTGATGCAGCTCTGAACTGACCTAAAATATCTCCTACAGTGACAGTGTTGAGGAAGGACAGAGAGTTACAGTCCACTCCGTTATATGTATCAGCGGGGTCCACAGACTTCAGTAAATCTCGGATGTGACGAACGTGTATACGGGCTTCTCTTACTGTGTAAGGCTCTGTAAGTAATCAATCATATACCGTTATTCTACCTCCCTCAAAGCTTGCACAAAATATTTGAATTTACACTTTTATAAATTGTACTTTTTAACAAACTTCACTCGTAGGAAAAAACTCACCTTCAACAACTTTGATGACTGAGCCCTCTTTTAGTCCTTCTATGCTTTTGAGTTCTGCAAAGTTGTCTAGTGTGACTCCGTCCAGCTGTAGTGAGAAGCAGGTCCTAATACAGGTGTCTTCTCTGTCCATCAACACCTGGTGTATCTCCTGGACCAGCTCCATAGAGCTCACCTGTAAAGGTAAAACTAATAAACAACAACTCCACAGAGCTCACCTGTCAGAATCAAGGTAACACTGATAAAACACAGCTCCATAGAGCTCACCTGTCAGAATCAAGGTAAAACTGATAAACCACAGATCCATAGAGCCCACCTGTCAGAATCAAGGTATTAAAATCTGATAAACCACAGCTCCATAGAGCTCACCTGTCAGAATCAAGGTAAAACTAATAAACCACAGCTCCATAGAGCCCACCTGTCAGAATCAAGGTAAAACTGATAAACCACAGCTCCATAGAGCCCACCTGTCAGAATCAAGGTAAAACTGATAAACAAAAGCTCCATAGAGCCCACCTGTCAGAATCAAGGTAAAACTGATAAACCACAGCTCCATAGAGCCCACCTGTCAGAATCAAGGTAAAACTGATAAACCACAGCTCCATAGAGCTCACCTGTCAGAATCAAGGTAAAACTGATAAACCACAACTCCATTGAACCCACCTGTCAGAATCAAGGTAAAACTAATAAACCACAGCTCCATAGAGCTCACCTGTCATAATCAAGGTAAAACTAATAAACCACAGCTCCATAGAGCTCACCTGTCATAATCAAGGTAAAACTAATAAACCACAACTCCATTGAACCCACCTGTCAGAATCAAGGTAAAACTAATAAACCACAGCTCCATAGAGCTCACCTGTCATAATCAAGGTAAAACTAATAAACCACAGCTCCATAGAGCTCACCTGTCATAATCAAGGTAAAACTAATAAACCACAGCTCCATAGAGCTCACCTGTCATAATCAAGGTAAAACTAATAAACCACAGCTCCATAGAGCTCAGAATTAAAACTGATAATCACAAGCTTATACAAGCCATCCATCAACTTTGTCAAATTACAAGCCAAGAACAACTTTTCTATGTGGCACAGTTACACAATCATTGTGTTGTATGCACAATACATTTCATTAAAAACATCCTTTCCTAAACTTTGTTTTATGTTCTTTGTAGTGAATAAGCTTGTAGTGCAATATCCATATTTTAAACATGAAAAATATGTTTGAAAAGCTTACAATTGCTCTTAAAATGTAATAAATGACTTCTTAAGGCACATAAGGCACAATACAATACACAGAAAATACAGAGAGACAATTACACTCATACAACAAATGACAATGTTATGTGTAGCTCTTCAAAAAGCTAAATGACTGTAATTGCTATAACTACTTAATTATTACGTTGACAGATAGCCTTACTGGTAGTTCTATGGGATTGCCGCCTGGGATCTGAATCTCCACGTTAAATCCCGTGTCCTGGATCAGCACGATCTCTTTATCATTCTTCTCCCCCTCCACCCCGGCCCCACCCCCAGGCTTCTCCTCCGTGTGACCCTCCTCCTGGCTCCCGTTTACCAGGGGCACCACTGAACCATCCTTCTCCTTCATCTTCTCTGAAATCATAAAAAACAAAGTTAACTGTCGTTACCATTTATAAAGCTGGATATTTCTTTAATCACGCTAGGGCAGATGCCGTTTTAGGCTCCCTGCTGGGTAAACCTCTCTAGCAGTCATTTGACACAGACAAATCTGGCTAAGTCTGAATAAAGTCTGTATAAATCATATCACTACTCTAGCTATTTAATGCAGATCAATATCCGCTGACACTCATTAAAGTTCACAGATTAAGAAACTGTATGAAATCTTAGTTACAGTTCACAAGTCAAAGAACTTTTATAATTAAATATGTAAAGCATTTTAAAATATGTAAGCATTTTTTTCTTCATTGAAAACAGAAATGTTCATTAGGGCTAAACATTTTTACTTTGTCAACATTACATAGTCATAAACCTTATTTGTTTTAAACTAAGGTACCTTTATTCTATGCATTCTAATTATAATCAGTATATTTAATTAGTCATATGAATAAACACCTGATTTTAAACCTACATTCAGTAATACAATTTGATCTTTTTTTTTTTACTTCAAATTTAATGCACCATTTGTTTATTGTGCATGTACTAATGACACTTCCTGGGCAAACCCCTAATCTGTTTACTTCATTTTGTATTTCCTGGGTTACCTTTGAAATCACATGGAGATTTGTAACTTATGTGCCTGAATTAAACATCGGATTATATTAAAAGGTAATTCCTTGTGATATGGATATGAACACCATGAAGATGTCGTCTGAATTGATATCTGGTTCATAAGCATTTCCATTACTTCCTTAGTTTAATTTAAGACACTGAAAAATGTGTCAAGGTAGCTACACCAATCCTATAATGGCTATTAATAATAACATCCCTATCTACATTAACATCACAGTATCATACAACTAATATGTTAATTTACTTAGTAGATCGGACATGTACATTCATTTAAAGTAGTAGCACAGGAAATGTATGCTTACAAAAATGCAGTTCAAATTAAAATCAGAAAACTTTTTGTATGTATATAAATGGTTTCTGCTATTTGATTTTCAAGTGCTCATTTGTACCTTTCTCATGTTATAGTGTTTCCCTTATTTTTATACAAATTAGAAATGACTTATTGTTGGCCAGGCATATCTGTAAGTTAGTAGAGAAATTAGTTTCCCTCCAAATGAAAGTTCTGGTAGTGCATATCCCTAGCTGCAATATTTAAAACGCCAATATGGTATGGTTCAATTTTCATTTGGGATGGATTTTCCTCAACCAAAAAAATTTTTCAATCACTCTGAGAATGTATTGAGTTAGACTCAGCAATGAAACAAGTGTGATAGAGTGATAGTTTTATCCCTAGATGTATCATCCAGGTAAATTGTAGTCAGCTGGGAAATATACCTATAAATTTAAAAAAAAGAGAATTCAACTTTTCTATAGAACATTTTGTGTTCAAATATAAAATGTATATCATCTTGAACCAGTATCTGAAGCAAGTCTACTGGTAAACTTTAACTTGTCAAGTAAAGGTAGGTCAAAGTCTGATCCAGGTAAGGCTAATAGTTATTTTGGAATGAGACCTGCTCTAAAAACTTCAATCTCCACTCTGATCATTCTTATGAAAAATGCAAGCTGAAAATGCAGCATCTGAAACCTGAATAGCACAAGGAAACAAATTACCTACACCTATCCTCCTCCCTCCCGGTGGAGCACAAGGTCAATGAAATAATCGTATTAATTAATTAATTAAATGCACTCAAATGATCATAGACAAAAAAAAACTGCTCAAAAACTTCAATTTGGAATAAAGCTGAGGTTTAAGTTAATTCCTAAATCTTTGTTGAAATGTGTGTGATTTAAAGAAAAATATTAAGGGTTAACTTGAAAAAACCTTGGTCAGTAATGGGAGAGGAGTAAAAAGCAGCAGATTACAGACCTGGATTCAAATCAGTTATGTTCTGCAATTAATCAAGAAATTTTGATTAATTTTTTAAGCTTCTCAAAAGTTTTTTTTAATATCAGTAAATATTTTCTAGGTCCTGATCATATCACAGACAGAATCTGGATTTTTTAAATAATTTTTTAAAAATATTAATATTACAACAAATTGTGTTCAATGTCACACATTTAAGGTGAGTATAATTAAATTCTACTTCAGTGTTTATTTCCTAAAGAGCTTCAAAGTGAATGTTTTGAGTCAGTGTAATGCATGGTATGTATTATTCCTCTTGTTTATATATCAACACATGCATGATCACGTACTTTTTAAGACAATATAGGCCTTGGGCTACATTGCAATGTTGTCCATTAATTCAAAATGACATGCACACCACATCATAAATTAACATTTTGAATATCTCTAAATCCCAGAAACTCGTCGGCAGTCAGCTGTTTGTTTAGGCCACACGAACTACATTTCGACCCAGACGACCTTGAAAACTTGCGTACGATTAATAAATAATAGCACGTGGTTAAAAGTTTTTAAAACAAATAAATTTTAGCAAATGTGAAAATCACACAATTTAAAAGGAATTATTATATGCGTAATTCAAATTATGCACGGAACTTGCCATACACACAGGAAAAAGGTTGCATAACGAGTCGAGATACCATTGCATAAACATTCATCAAATCATCAATGAAAATTCTTTAAAACGAGATTAAAAAACTAAAAGTAAACATCGAAACATGATTTAATTTAATAACTTAAAGGATACTTAGGTTATTTCACCAGACATTGAGCAGAAATACAATTTTGTCCCTTTTCCGTCGTCTGCATGAATAGAAACCATCAAACTTTCTAATAAAACATAAAACAAACTCACCTTCAGTATTTACTGTTACTGTCACACACTTAGATTTAGGTGAACCATTCTGCAAAGTTGTATCATGACTTTCTTCACTGTCTTGACTTGAAATACCTGCCATTGAGCATTGACTTTCACAGGAAAACACGTGCGTTCCGTCTTAGGAGATTGTCCTACATATGCACGTTTCACCTCAAAATTCCAAGTCGGTTAAACGCTTAAAAGAATCTGGTAAAAGTAGATACCGTAAGTCCCCTTTTCATGCCCGAATTTGCTAGAGATATATAATAATGAAAGAATTTTTTGGAATGCATTAAACCAAATCTAAACTAAACTATATGTTGCAAATATTGATTTCTATGTTGTATGAATTTTTTCTTTGCCAAATGATGGTTAACACCTAAAGATATCATATACAGTGTATAAAAAAAATTAAGTTATATCTAATGGACTGTGATCCCCGCCTCTTTAAACCGTTAAAAATAATCAGATAATTTATGCATTTCCATCTTCTAATAAATAATTTCTTTTAAATCTAATCAGATGATTTTTGCTCATTTTTTTTCTTTAATTGAAAAAAAAAATAATTTTAAGAAAGATAACTTGTTAACTAATGGATGCGTTTTTATTTTACAAGCCCCCCCCCCCGAATCAACTGAGATATATTATACTTGTATGCAGGTGATGAAGGTATCATGATTATACCATAAACCTAAATTGAATCTCTATGATTAGACATAGGTAATTTCTGAAAATTAAGTAAGCAACGTTTCATACTTCAAACTATTTTACATTTGAATCTAACGCTATTGCTGTTAATGAAAATCAATGTTGGGCATTAAAAAAATGGTAAAAGTTATAGCAGAGGGATATTTTACCTTAAATGTACTTCATTTTAGATGGATATATATTTTTTTAGTTTAATGTGCATGGAGACATATTTGAAATAATAATTTCTCAAATTTTCTCTATAATATTACGACTTATATATTGCATTTCACAAAACAATATAATAAAATTCTCATCTCAATTTTGCTGTATATTAATGAACAATATTAAAACTATAATCCAAAAAATTCAGAGTAGAAATGTTCGAAAGGAAAGCGCGCTCACCATGCTCACAGTATATTGTCGGTATGCAGACTTTAACAGTTTGAAATTAACAATGACAGAGCTCGTGCCCTGTTTACAAAAACAGTTTATGTTTCAAGAGTGTATTCGAATTTCACATTCACAAGAGTTATCTCCCGTTGTCGGCGTAATGCTCATTTTACCCACTTTGTCCTTTTTAAATTACCTGTTAATATTTTTAATCTTCAAACGTTATCGGACAATTTTGATCTGTACCTGTATTGCCAGAGTATGGGGCAACATGAAAAACATTATGAACATATTCATACAGATTTTATTTCCAAGATACTGACCCATAAAAATGGTAGGGTTTTGAGGGAAAACAGTGCCTTACGCCAGTTGACCCCGGATTGACCCCGCAAAGGGGAATAACTTTAGTAAATGTGAAAGTCGTCTTGACAAATGTACTCTTGTACCAAATCGAAGTAAGTACGGCGGCGGCAGATTGTTTGTTTAAGTTTACCACCCCTAGCTAAAAAAGCTGATGAAACTATCTTTTTTCTTTTATCATATGTAAATATTGGTGCTTGTTCTTCATAACAAAGTATATGTAATCAATAAATATTTCAAAAAAGGGAAAGTGTCGTTTATTTAATGAACACGAAAGACAAGTAAAAATAGAGTTGCACACCGAATGTGTTTTCGTACAAGTTATGCAGATCCAAAACATTTTGTAAACAAAGATGGCGGAAGACTTCGCGAATTTACTCGCACAGGGTATAGAAAAACGTGTTTTATATGCTGGAAAAGGCGGACAAACGTCGTATGATAATGGAACAAAGGTAAACAAAGTATAGATATTTTTTAGAAGTGTTTACTTTTCTCTAAAGTTAAGTTCTGTTGCAGATAAGTAACAGCTGATCCTACAACTGATTATCATACAAACATGGTAAACGTTCAGACTTCTTATCCTTCCAGTATTCTTCTTTCTTTTGATTTCTTTTAATTGGTTTGAACATATACTATATTATTAATTTATCACATGTTTTTTTTTATACTTGAGATTTTTTTTTCACATTATAGAAAGCAAATACAAACTACACAGGTCCAGTACAATCTCTTAATTTAGCTATATAGCTTTAACAGGTCCAGTACAATCAGTACATTTAGCTACGTAGGTAGAATTACCTACATAGCTTTATTTACCTACCTCAGGTAGCTTGATTTAGCTACCAAATGAATTTATTTCTATAAAAAAGCATTTTTCTCAGGATGTGCAAAAACTATCATTTTGATGCAGTGATCATTTTCAACTTTGAACTCATCTGAAAACAATTCATGAAAAATTCCCTCTTGAAGAAATGGCTTTTTCTGCGCAATTGCAATCAAAGTTCTGAAAGTTTTGGGGCTATGTATGACAGTAAGAACAGTTACTCCTTGAATGAAATGACAAAGAAGTCCAGTTCTGGCTAACATGATAATAGGTCGGTAATTATTCAGCACAATGTGAAGTAATCATACTCAGTCATGCCTCACCGCACAGACAGATAACCAAACAATGGAATTATATGTTTTGCTCTAAATTGACCAAACACAGCGATGTTTAAACTATCTCTGCTTTGGAATGTTTTTTAAAGTCTCCCTAGTATAAATATCAATAGTCATTTAACTGCAATTTTTTCTCTCTTTTCCATAAAAAGAAAAGTTACATTGAAATATAGCTAAATAAAGCTACCTGAGGTAGGTAAATAAAGCTACTTAGGTAATTCTACCTACGTAGCTAAATGTACTGATTGTACTGGACCTGTTTAATTTTAAATAGCTATATAGCTTTATTAAGCTATTCAGAATAGCTTGATTTAGATATTTAACTACATGTGTACACGTTTTGCAAAAGGTGTAAATTTTCACAAAAGCGCACCTTGGTGCAGTGATGATATACAACCTTGAACTCTTCTTAAAATAATGCATGTAAAAATCCCTCATCAAATTACGTCTCCTTGAGAGTCTTTGTACTCAAAGTTCTACAAGTTTTTGGGCTATATAAAGCAATTGATACAGTTACTTCTGCAATAATATTATACAGGAGACCAATTAAGGTCAACAAGATAATTGATTGGTAACAGTTCAGCACAATGAGAAGCAATCATACTTATTCATGCCTCAACACATAGCCCATAGTACATATATGAAGAGTCAATTACATGTGACTTTTTGTTTATTTCTAGCAAAATAATTTTTGTGAAAAACTGTATATAAATTATTAAATAGCTAAATAAAGCTATTTTGAATAGCTTAATAAAGCTAAATAGCTTAAGTTAAAGCTAGGTAGCTAAATCAATAGATTGTACTAGACCTGGTACAATAGCTGTATGAACTAAAGATTTGTTTTATTCAGTGGTGTTAAAAGTATACTTTCCCCTGAATTCACCATAAAAGTTAAGCTGAATGTGACTTGATCTTCAGATAGTGTTGTTTATTTTCTGGTCCTTTTTGTTTAACCTTCGGTTGTGTTGTTTGTTTTTTCTGTTAAAGTCCCTCTAGAATTTTTCACTCATGTAGAGATGCATCACTTGCAAACAATGGCTGCAAATTTATTCCCATTCTCAACACTCAGGCCCATTGAGCAGTGCGGCATATTTATTGTACCTAATGCAAACCGAACCTCAGTTTATATGATCTTATCTTGCAGTGGATTCGAACTCACAACGTAAGATCAGATCTTTACTCTGCATCTCTAGAGTAGATGCGCCTTCCACTGTGCCAAGTGGGCAACTCACCCACTCCATATGATTTTAATGTCTTTAAATATAAAAAAAAAATTGAGAAATAGATAATTAGATACAAGATACACTTAACTTACCTGAAACTACAACAGGCTGTAAAGCTGTTGGACAGTTTCTTCGTATCCCAAAGTACCACATTGAAAGAAACTAAGAGAAATAAACGTCATTGCAATTTTCTTTTTATTCATCTTTAATTTAACAAATTTTTATTTCATTTCTATGTCTGTAAAAAGTTTACAAATATGGCTTTGTCTCTTTTTAAATCAGTGAATCTAACTGTGAATACAATAATAAATTACATATTTTCTTTTTTTACAGCTTTATTTTCATTTCCGGACAGAAATTTGTGATGAAGAGAACACAGTTATTGATGACAGCCATAAGTATAACAAACCAATGGAAATAATTCTTGGGAAGAAATTCAAACTGGAAGTTTGGGAAACTTGTTTACGGACAATGAGATTAAATGAAGTAGCTAGCTTCAAAGTAGAAAAATCAGTAAGTTTTATATTCATAAATTGCCCATGCAGCCTTATTTTGCTGTAAAACTGCAATCATAAATGTTATTTCTGTACTTTTCATCAATAGTTGTTCCATTTTAAAATTCAAGGTCAATGAAATTTGAGAGCATGATATCACAAAAACATTCTTCAATGTTGTCACTCAGAGGCCACTTTGTAAATGTCCCATTCTCATATGATTCTTGTTCTTCCAATTTTATATTTTTAGCTTAAAAAGCAAAATACTGGTATATTTTACTTTTAGGTGAAAGGTCAAAGTCATATTTGGGTCCTGCTACATTGTTTAATGCTTTAACTCAGATTAATAAGTTTGAAAAAATAAATCATTTTCCAGATTTATATATTTCCCACAATACATTTGCCCTTCAGATTAACATAGTATAACACAGCCAAATGACTTATTTCATAAACATGAGTAAAAATATTGCTAAAAAAAGTCATTAAAGAAGTACTTAATTAAAACAAAAGTGTCAAAGGAGGCATAATTATTAGAGCTGATTAATGTTGACATCTTTTATTTTTACTTTCAGCATACCTCTGTATACCCAGTTGTATCTAAGACATTACGTGAGTATTACGGTGAGAAGAAAGCTCACAATCACAATGATAGCGGCCATTGTTGTGGAATGATGATGGCTGAACATGGAGTGGGGTATGATGACCTTAATGAACTCATGAAGAACCCCAAACAGCTCAGGTTTATATTAGGTTCGTCTGTCTGTCACTCATTTAAAGAGATACATAAATTTTACAAAATATTCTTTTAAATCAATAGGCTTATGAGCATATTCTTTTACTCTATTTAGTTTGTTTTATTTCTAGAACTGGTAAAAGTAG